TTACTATAAAACATCTTCCTTTTTAGTGAAATATTCATATTATGAATTTCACTGAACAAGTTAATTTATTGAATGCTAACCTTTTAGTTCTAGTTTTATTTTTTGTTCATAATTGTTATACAGTTTTTTTTTATCAGACCAAAACCTTTATATATTCACAAAGGGTTGATTAATTTCAGGTTTATATTGAATTGCTTTAATAGATCAAAACATTGAGAGAAAGAAACTATTAAATTTATTGGATAAATTAACAAATGAAAACAATACAGATTTTATTATTATAATTCATGTTGACTGCATAGAAGTGAGTAATTATTAAAGTGATAAAAATCATCCTTTAACAAGGTGAAAGCAAAGAAGGCTTTAATACATTTTAAACACTTTCTTTTAATCATTTTGGATCAATAAATAATTCTTTCAAAAATCGAAACTGCAACCTTTTACTTTTATGTATTGTATTCCAACAAAAATTTTTATTTTAATTAAATGTGCCACTCATACAGGTAAATATGAGAGAATGCTGCAAATTTCTTGGCTTAACCAAGAATGCTTACCAAAATAAATCTGGGACCATTTTTTGGGAAGGACTCATTTCAAGAAATTTTGAGTACCCATAGGGTAATTAAATTTAAATGCATCATCAATCATCATCTTTTGCCTCCTTGATTTTTGTTTTTCTTCCTCAGTAATGTTTTCTCAGTTGCTTTTGGATATTATCAGATTTCATCCTCAGTAACCTTTTGCATCTTAATAGCTTTATACTTAACCTTTCTTGGGGTGAAATGATTAAAAAAACTTTACCTAATAGATGAGAGCATTGAATGTTGGATGTTTGCCTCTAGATTCATCCTATGGAATCAAGATATATGATAGATTTTACCTAATAAAATTTCCAGTGTTTCAAAATCATAAACTCACATCCAGTTACTTGACCCAAAGATTTGGGAATACAATAATTGGCCCAACAGATGATGAACAAAACTTGGAGAGTTGAGTTAAAGGAGATAATTGAGACATCTGGAAGAGGCAATTTTTTTTCATTTGGAAATAGAACAATCTGACAATGGATGAAATAAAGGGTTCAATTTGAAATTCCAATTACCTGAAGAAGATTTGAAGTACAATGGCTTAAAATGTTGTGAATATAGCACTAAAGATGAGGGGACAACAGTCCAAACAATTTAAATAATCACAAAACTCATCTCAGAAATATTTGTTTGAAAATAAAATGGATCTTTATTTAGATTATCAATCTTGTCTTTCTAAAAAGTGTCTTGGACTTAAACTGACACAAATATCAAATATTTTCCATTTTATTATTGTTCTAATTTTTTATTTTGACAATTTGTAAATTTGACCTAAAAACATACTTTAATTCATAGTAAAACATTAAAAAATGTGAAATCTATTCATATAAGAAAAATTTAAGCCTTCATAAATTGCTTGATTTTTTAAAAATTTTTTCAGCTTATTTGTTATATATAAGGTACCTATGAACACTAATAGGTATGTCCCAAACATTATAAATACATTGGACACTATTATGAAATGGGTGTAATATGCTGTCTAAGTAGTGAGGAAGAGAGTGAGATTACTAGGGCACCAGTTGGCATTGATTGAAGGTTGGTGGTGCAAGTTCCTGAATTGGATGGTTTGCCCTATAAATTGTATTTTGAGGCTGTTGCACATGTTTGTCCTAATTTTGATGGTTGTGTTCAACAACTGGTTCCATGCAGGGGTCTGTCCCCTGACCAGTTCGCCAGGGGTGTTATCACACTAAAAAAAAAAAAAAAAAAGGTGGTGGGTGGGATTTAGATGATTATAGGCTAAACACAGAGTTAAAGATTTTGGCCAAGATCCTGATGAGCATTTGCAGTCAGTTGCTGAGAGTTTTTCTGGAACCTGAGCAGACTTGTGAAGGGATGAATAATTCAGATCAACCTGCATATGATCCACACATTCCTAGAGGATGTAAAAGACAAGGACCAATTTAGATCAGTCCAAGGTATTCATTAGGGTTGACCATCAATACATGGCTGCTGTCCTGAAGGCTACCAGATTCAAACCTGACAACTGCAAGTGGATCATCCTCCTGTATACGCTTCCCCAGTGCTGTGGAACAGGTGAAAGGAAAGTGGTCATGTGTTTTTGTGCTGTCATGGTTGGTCATCCTTTGCAGGTTAAGGGACAGAATGTGCCGCCCAGCCCTATGCAGAATCACTGTCCCTGGAGTCATTTGAGCCAGGGTTTCTGCATATGCCAATGACATATCCATCTTTGTAATGCAGCAGAATTGAGGTAGTACAGAAGGCATTTGAATAGTACAAAAATGTGAGTCTTCTGGCGTGCAGTTAGTTGCCTGGAAGGTGATTGTGCTTCTAAGGCCCTGTAGTTGGACAGATTCGTCTGCATTTATAGAGTGTGGTTTAAGCCCAGTGTATAGCGGAAGAAAAATTAGTCCAAAGTATGATTAAATGTTGGAACAGCAATCTGGACTTAGCTTTGATGGCAGTTGTTCATAAAAGGTAGAGATGAGGCGTGTGCGTCTTTCCTTTTATCCTTTATCAATTAGCTGTACTTTCATTTTGCAAGGAGCAAAAAAAGGTACTCGAGAGCTTGTTGTCCACCCTTTTGTGAGGTGGTCACAAGCATCAGGTCTGCAGAGAAGTTGGTACCCAATGTCCATGTCGTGGAACCTGGGAATGCCATGCCTGTTATTCTATTGGATCACCTCAAGGTTGCCTTTCCTATGCCATGCATTGACAGTGGACTCAATTTTGGAGGGGAATATTAGGGATGCTTTCCCTAGATTTACTATCAATCATAAGACCAGGAATCAACTGAGATTCCTCTGAGAATGTTAGGAGGCTTTGAGGGTCATTCCACAGTCCATTGATCTTTCATATCATGAACTAGTGGAGAGAGTTGCGACAGACCCTCTATGTGGCCTGGGTGTCAGTGGTGGATTATCTCAGCAACACTGAGTTTTTGCTTACCTGGCATTTGATTTAGAATGTGCTATCTCTCAATGATGTAGCCTTAAGAGAGGGCTGGTTGTATTTGTGCAACTGTCATCAGTGTCACCTTGGTTTAAAGGAAACAGCTTTTCATGCCTTCTATCATTGTTCTCAGGTGTGCCCATTGAGACAATCTTGGCAAGTTGAGAGTGTCCATTGATCTCACATATGTGTGCAATGTGTCACTCCCATTCTCTGCATTGAAACAGATGGTGTTTTTCACATTGCTAGCCAGTGGGGTGGATGTCGCAGATGTAAGGAGTCTTGAGATATGAATGTTATTCGCATCAGAATCTGGTCAAATTCTTTTGGACATCAGCTCAAGCTAAAGATTAGAACTGATAGAAAGCATTTGGTGCCAACAGATTTCAGCGAAAGGTGGCTAACTATAGTGAGCCTGGTTCGTGTGAACAGGGCTAGCCTTGATTTTCTTTTTTAAGTCCTCTTTGATGCTACAAGGTGCTTTCCTGTGAATCCTCTCCTGGTTAAGTTAGACACTATTTGCTTACCTGGTTAATGTGAGTAAGTGTTGTTCCCAGTATTCTCTTTTGTTCTGATCCATGTCAAGATTCCCAGCCTCCCAGTTTATTTTTTCCCCATTTTTTTATCTCAGCTGTATCAGTCTTGTGATTTTTCCTTTTTCTGTCATTTCATTTTTCCATCTCCCCATTAGTGAGAGTGCTTCTTGATTCTGTTGCAACAGAATACAGCAGCTGGTCTTATTCTTTTTATTTTGAATAAACAACTGTCATGTTTTAGTTTGTTTTTGTTATATTTTTAGTTTGTTTTTTGGGTTCATCCAATCTCCACTGATTTCATGATTCATGAAATTTTTATATATATTTGTAAAAAGAAAAAAAAATGTAAAAAAGAATCATTTATGAATAGTAAGATTTTTACACCATGGAGTTTTTGTAGGTTCCCTGTGAATATGTGGTATTGCAGTATATGTAGAATTGAATGGTGATGGATGAGGTCTAGGATAGTTACTGTTGACCACCCTTATCTCACGTTCCCCATCAGCGTTGTGCTACAATTACATATTCAAATGTATAATAAATATACATTCCCAGAATGAAATTGACAGATAATGTTTTGAATTATAGGAACATAATGGTAAGTATTTCCCTGCAGAAATAAATATATTGCCCATCATTTACTATATAAATACATTAACAATCATTTATATAAGTGCACTGCACACAATTTTTATTATTGAAATGCATTGACAAGCATTTTTGCCCACTAGTTTTACATTAATAATTATTTTTGCTGCAGAAATCCATTAAAAATTACTTGTCTCATAGAAAATAAAATGAGGGAACATTTCTTATTATTCTCCATCAATGCTTCATATCTATTACATGAAAATTATGACAAAGATGACAGCTTTATACAAATATTTAGGTTGGTTAATTTACTGACATATCAACACTTCTTGGTTTATTTAATGCTGAATATCTCTTTTATAGGACATCAATTTCAATGAATTAATGCAATTTGTGATAGTCAAAATGATAGACACAAAATAACACAAAACTGGTTTGCTCTAGAGTCTAACAGTTATCCAGTGACAATTGAAATTTCCGAGTTTGGAAATGTTTGGAAATGTCCACCTGGAAAGAGGCACTTTTAGGGGAGGTTTTGTGTCTCTTTGGGGGATGCATTCTAAGCACAGCTAAGATGGCAAGAAGGGAGCATTGTATCCCATTTGGGATGGTCAGATACGTATATGACACTGGATAACAGGATTACTTCTCTCTTTAAATAGATTTAAAAAAATATAGCGGAATATTTAGGCAAAATACTTGAAAAGTGTCTTCCTTTTAAAATAGACTGTACATCTGAAGGAGGCTGAAACTTTCATCAGCCAATATTAAAAGGGAACAATAATTAAAATATCAATAGTCTAAATAATTCTTGGAAGGACAAGAATACAAGTCAAAACAATTTATGAATTAATCAGAAAAAGAGGTGACTCACCATTTTGGTCTGTTGAGGAAGTTGGAGGTATACTTGTGGTTGATGATAAGGTTGTAATTGCTTCTTTGAAACATTTAATGGCAACATCATCAGCGTGTTGACAGTTATGCATTCCCCAGGAAAGATTGGGACAAACTTCAAGATCATATTCTGATCCAGTACAATTGAGATTATCCAGCCAGATGACACCTTTCCCTTCTCCAAATGTATTTGGAATTACTTCTCCAGAACTGAAATTAAAATTTATTAAAAAGAAAACTAGAAATGTCACATAAATTGTGGGTGAAAAGGTTCATGGCTTGACACACATTCCAAAATATAAGAAAATGAGCAGATGTACATAATGCTGTGGGTATATTCACAATAGAAGGCACATGAAAATGGGATTTCAGTGTCCCAACAATTTTTCAGATAATAAACTGTTGCAGTCATTATCTAATTACTTGCTTCTTGAAAGAAAATATGTAAAAACATTAAAAATCAAAGTCACCTGTATCCCAACATCCTACATATGACCTTTGCATCATCAAAAATATCAAATTTTTTACTCTACATGGCTTGGAAGAAATTATAAATTTATAATTTAAATATTTTAAACATTTGTAAAAGGTACATTTCTATGAGGGCGAAAGGCTAGCTATTAAATAAAATGTTTTGTGTCTTATCTGTTTTAGTTTATTTTGCTAGATAAACAGATACAAAATTTTATTTGAAAATAATTTATATATATATATTTATATAGGTAAGTATATATATAATATATATATCACCACCTAAGTGTTCTGTAGGAACGGACGAAAATTTGATGGTAAAATTTTAACTATGAAAACAAGGATCTTTTCTTCTTAATTCAGGTTCATTTATTTTACTATATTGTTTTGAATTCAGCAACCATTTGTATCTACAATTGGTTCATTATAGCTTAATTTGTTTTTGTGTATTTGTTAAAAACAGAAAAATTAGTTGAAAAAAAATTAGTATATATCTGATAAATAGTGCAAGTATTTGTATAATAAGTCACATACATTACAATAATTATTCAAATAAAATATAAGCTTATATATGCATTGTAGGACTGATTCAGGGATAAAAATGGCCCTTATACCAAAAAACCAAAACATCTTTCTTGGCACATGGCGCATTCAAACTCCAAAATTTATCGCCAATATAAAAATATATGAAACTTCATAAACAATGCATCCACAAAAAAAAATATTATAAATGGATGGTTTTATATATATATACCACTACCAAACAATATATAAAATATACCAATGTTTACCAATTTAAATAAGATATATACAGAAATTAATAAAACAGAACCATATTTCTCCAGAGATTTATACATTTCTTTATTCATATATATTTATAACAAAATAATTTTCAAAGATTTTATTCATAGATTGTTTGAAAACATTAGTCATATATTTATACTTTATTTAGTTAGAAATAGTTTGAGTAAATGCTCTTTTATAATAAACAGTCTTAACAACATTTACTGGCCTGAATGTCCGAGAAATTCTCATAGAAAATATTCCGTCCTAGAAAAAATCGAACCTCGGACAGGATCCGAATCATATACGGAAACGTCATATAGCCTGACGTTAAATCAACCGATCGAGTAAATGACAGAATCGTTCGATCATCAAGCATGTTTGAATATTTGTACTGCCTTTAAACTTAAATATGAATTGATTCTCAGGGAAATGCACATTCATAATCTTGTATTTTCGTATCCAAAATAATCAAATGATAACCACATTACTGAAATGAACAATATGTTGACAATTATATTTTAAGACATTTTATGTATTTATTATTTATATTATATAATGTATATATAGACATACAGACACACACACACACACACACACACACATATATATATATATATTATATATATACCTTATTTATAAATTAAAATATTAATAAATTTTTGATCTGGCGGCTCTAACAGTCACTTTCAATTTTGGTATAGGTTAGAAATTGTAGTGAAAAAACCATACATTAAATCAATTGTTCCTAAATAATACGCACAAACATATTGTAAATTTACGCAGTACGTTTTTTTTAAATTAAAATATATATAACATACTCCAGATATATTCATTACGCAACACACACACATATATTATGAGACATATATATATATATATATATATATATATATATATATATATATATATATATATATATATGTGTACAATGTGTGATGTGTGTATTATAGACTCAGTTGGACATAGTTAATGTTTATACAGTTCTTTTATTAGATCAGGGCTCTTTTGGTCTAAATATTGGGTGAGACAATTTTATATAAAATCTATTTTGCATAATCTATAAGTCTACGAACGTTCATTGAAATTATCTATTGCTGAGAACACAACATCTACAGGAAAGCACCAGAAGACAAAAAGCTAAGATCCTTGCATCCACAGAAATAGATCAGACATAATCTGAGGAGTCTCTAGAGATTCAAAAATTGAACACCACTCTAACAGAAGGAAATTTCTGATTCACCTTTTTTTTAATTTCAACTTAACTCGAACAAATGAATGAAAGTTTAGATTACTAGATTTCAAGAATTTAAATCCAGTAATTATTTTTTCACTGAAAGAATTGGAGATGCCATACAGAAAAAATACTACGGATGAAAAATAAAATAATACCTTTATTTTGAACAAGATGGAAAACCAGACTGGCGTAATTTCAATGGCAGAATTTACCCTTGAACGAAAGATGTTGCCGTAAACTAACTAACAGTTTCGAAATGAAGTTTTTTTAACGGCCGGGAACTAGATCTTTACCATATATCGAACCAAAATTAATCAGGGTACATTTAAATGCCTATCAATGGTCCTAATTTACATTATGGTTCTCCTGATTATTTTTTCAAATTTCTCCTAATGTTCATGTTCTTAACAATATTTACTGTGTAGCGTGAGAGTAATTTTAAATCAGTTCTTGGGATGAAATAGGCATATTAAAAAATAACAAAAAAAAAAATGTATAAAACGGATATGTACAAACGCAGAAAAGTCGGTTAATCGGACTGTGGGTTAATATTATATTTAAACGGGAAATATTCCATTTATTTTTGTTAAAAGTCAGACTTACACTATAACAAAGGTAAACTGAAACAACGATAAAGAAAATGTGAAAAAAACATGCCGAAATTTTTCCCTCGTGATTTTTATTTTTTGTCCTCCAGCATAAAAATGCAGGCAATACTGATAGAAAAATGGACGAGCGTGAGTCATTCATCATTTGGAATTTTTGGGCATGAAAATTAAATTTAAAAAATTGATTACTCGTAGGAAGAGAATGTGTTATATATATTTTGAATAATATATGAAAGAATTCAACAGGAGTTTTATAATTTTAACGTTTTATAAAACGAAATTGAATTATATCAGTAGTTTATTTTATAAAATTTTCAATTTGAAGTTACACAGTTATTTTGTTTAGAAGGATATATAGTTTTATAAATGAAAACGTTCAAGCCTTTTTGAAGAAATGACATTATTGAATACTGCGGTGGCTTACTGATTGTTCAGACCTATTAATATTTTTTGAGGAATGATCTTCAATGGATAGTTTGAACTCGATTAGGAATCGGAGATTGAGTTAAAATTCCATTTCTGTCTGTCCATTACATTCACTTATTTTCTATAAACCCTTGAAGAATATGATTTCATTTTTTTTTTTCCTTCAATCTCTATTTAGGCTCGAAAATTTCGTACAGATTAAAGCCTTGATGAGAAAATGGTCCATTGAGGATGTCTAAAGGTAACGAAATATGCTTTGCTGATAAAAGTTTATAAATTTACAAAAAAAAAACTGTATGAATGAAGTTATTTATATTTTGCAATATGACTCCAATAGTAATAATATAGATCCCGGCATCTGTGGTGGTTGTAAATTAGATTTGTAAACACTGGGAATGAGGTGGAACTTCATATCCAGCTTGAAATTTATTCAGATTTAAATTCTAGTTTTTTCCCCAGTTCGTTTGTTCATCGGCAGTTTCGGTTGTCGTATACGACCATCAATTTTTTTATTTTTTAATGACCATATTAGAATATTTGTTTTAAATTAAATGTTTAGAAAAGGCCGATTTAATGAAATTCGTTAGCTTGCATTTCATTATAATCAAAAGCTAACGAAAGAGAGGAAAAGCACAATTATTTGGGGACGCCATACGTCTGCATTCTGGACATCCGGTAGCAATAGGGAAAGTGACTATATATTTAAGGAGAAATGAAAGAAAGAAGGTAAAATAGGAGTTGAAGAGAGAATCGATTAAATTTTAAGAACATGATTACTTTCAATTTTGGATTCAAAAGGCCGAGAAGTGATTGATTCTTGGCGCAACGTTTGAAGGATGTAAATATAAGATTATTTTAGTGAGGACACCATAACGTGCAAGGCTCGGGCCAGGTATCTGTTTGCCCAAAAGTAGATTTTCCTGAATCTTGAATTTAAAAAAAGAACCGCATCACCGATTTAATGGAATGTTGTTCAGAAAAACGTTTGAGATTTTCAGTTGTCTTCAGTTTAAATTTTCAGTCAAAAAGAATGCCTAATGTACAAATTGTCTTGAAAAAGTCTTATCCGCTTGAATGGCAAATTGTATATTTGAAAGAAAAGAGACATTTAAAAGTTTAAATTTAAAATGAATTTTAATCGGTATTGTCTGTGATTCACGTTCGTGGCTTTTAGTCAAATATTTTTTAAAACATTTGTCGATTCTGTCCTTCATGGCAAAAACTTTTTTCTTTTTCATTTATATGTCAGTTAACCATAATTTATATATTTATATATATATATATATATATATAAATAAGAAAGAACAGTAAGATAAATAAAAAATTCGGGTGTTCAAAATATTTTATTCGAATTTTTACAAAAAAATTGCTAAATGTAAATTTACAGTGCATTAATGGGTTCTTGAATTGAAATTATAAAATATGGGGATTGTTTAGAAGAACTATCGGCAAAAAAATGGAAGCCAAAGCCCCTGAATTTAATTAAACCAAAAAATTAAAATAAATAATATTAGCTGAATTTGGTTCTTTGGGTAGATTTTTTTAATTAAAAAAATATAAATTAGAGTCTATTTGGAATCCATTTTTGAAACATGGTTAGAACTGTGTATGAAAAAAACCATGGCATTTTGCTGAAATATATAAAAAAATATATATATATATATATATATATATATATATATATAAATATATTATAAAGGAATGTGGAGCCAAATGGGGTGGATTTGAATATGTCTGACAAGGTATTTTTTGTTTCGGAAAGATGTTTTTTTTGCGTACAAGTATAAATTTTTTCACTGCAGAATTGAAATGACCCCAGGAAGTATATTTTATAGGTTAAGAACTAGAAACTAGTGAACGGGCCCACCAAATCCTTCAACATATATATATATATAGAATAGATATGCCACATATATATGATATAGCATCTATCAGCAAGATATAGACATATATATGAAC